TTATGATTCAGTGATAATGCGTTTTAACAGCAACTATTATTTCCAGTTTATAAATTCCAGCTTTTATATCTCAGGTACTATATATGCAGTTTAAGTGTGCATGGAAGTAGTGCTTTCTGCTTGCTTTCTGCTGCTTTGCAGTGGGCTTCACCCATTGAAAGGAAGGTGGTATATTTATTTTCTGTAGTTTAACTTGTGAAAGTATGCATGCAAGAATTTGAAAAACCTGAATTATTATTATCATTCAGGTTGGAAGACATAGCACCATGAATACAAATGTCTTTCACTTTCCTGTTGTTGTGCTACATAACAAAAAAAAGGAATATATTGAATAAATGTTTTCTTAATTAATATATCTTTTAAATTCTCCCTTTTAATTAAGTTTAAAAATTTTTTACAACTCTGTACAGTCTTCAAAACCAAGTTATTTTTTGTCTTCTGTAAGTTGTGAAATTCAGCCATGCTTTTAACACAGTTTTGTTTTGAACACATATTCCTTATTTAAGCATTTCTGATTTAAACTCAGTTTTCTGCAGTGTTTAAGGAATTAAATGTCACGAATGTGCAGAACATTAAATCAGTCTATTGTAAAATAGTTCCTTCCATAACTATTGAATCATTTTCCAGTTTTTAAACCATATATGATTACTATTTCATGAAATTGTATATCTCAATAATATGGTTCCTTTACTTCAGTTTATTCTTAAATCAAAATTAATGTATCTGCCTTCTTAAAAAAATGGTTTGTAGATTCTATTGACGTAATGGTAAAAAAGAAAATTAAAAAAAAAAAAAAACATGACAGTAACTTAAATTCTTTTTGTGGTTGCTCGTTTTTTACTTCCTGTGATCATACATATCCTTTGGAGAGTTTAAATCAGAGACCATTTTATTCCCTGATAGTATATATACACAGAGAGAGTCAAGTAAATTAAGCTTAATTAGCAGAAGATGTGAATTTAAAGCTCATTAAGTCCTTATAAGTATTTCCTTCAGAAATAATTTGGCTTTAGTTCTGAAGAGGATCGATCTTATATGAATTGTTTTAGTTTTAAGGAATCATATCTTCAGAGGAATTATGTGTGTGAAGAAAAAATTACAAACTCATTTTATTTGTAGTTCCTTATAATAACAGCTAAATATCTACAGAAGTAGATGAGTTTACACTGAAAAACAACCTGTAATCCAATTTTTACTATCCAGAGCATATAAAATAGATCCTAAATTTTCACAGATTCAATTCAAGTATTCTGTGTCTCATTTTCATTCCCTAACCCCAGTAGTTTTCAAATTATCTAGTTTCTTGATTTGCATTCCACATACTTTAGTTCCACTGATGGAAATATTATGAACTTGGTAGCATTCTAGCACAGAAATACCATGATAATCTCTGAATCTTTAAATGTATGAACTTCCGTAAAATTTAGTTTATATTAAGCAACAAACAGGTATTCAAGAAAAGTGCCACTATAGCTTAAAATATTTAATGTCCAAAAGTAGTAATTTCTTAAAAGTAATGGTTTTGTTTTGTTTTGTTTTGTTTTAATTTAATGTAATTTTCAAGCATCTGAAAACTCTGGTTTTCAAATTTCCTTTGCCTCAAGCCATTTTGTGATATAAGTTGTTCTTTTTCATTTGTAATTTCTTTTCTATGAATTTTCACAGGCAGTCTCCTCATAAATCCTTTATATACTGGACTGTCAATTGTCTGACAATTTGTGAAACTGAGGAGAGGGGAACAACATGCTGTTCCCTCTCTTTCATCTATTCAGACTCCTCGTAAAAAAATCTGAGCACTCTTACACTATTTCGTACAATTTCAGCACAGGGTTCTGAGGATCATAGAAAAGCTGTGTACATGTGTCGCAAACAAACTTTGTTTAACTTTTCCTCTTTTCCCTTAATTCTGCGTTTTGTTTTTCATTTTGTATTTTTAGGCCCTCTATCTGCTATCTGCACTGTCGATTTTATTGTCAAAGTAAATACAGAGTTGAGCTTAGATTCTGTTCATGGAGAACAAACATTCTTTGTAGGGCTATAGAATTAAGAGTTGGAGAAAAATGTAAAAAAATATTTAGAAGAATGGCCCTAACATTTTGTGATAAAATGATACTTCTATATGAAGAAAATCTGTTTTGAATTGGGGTTGGGGGGCACAAAGGAAAACTTATATCTGTTGCCCTAACACTGAGTAGTCAAGTAACAGAATATACTTTTCTGTGAGATAATGTTGATCAAAACCATGCTTTATTAATCTCAGGATTTATGCATTCAAGGCTCAAATGTCCCAACTATCCAAAATGTCAGCTCCAGAGAAGTTAACTTGTTTGATACTGAACTAGTTTTAGATGTGAGAGGTAAAGGGGGCTATAAAGAATATGCAAGTGCTCTTGCCTATGACAGAAAAAAATATAGGCAAAAGCTACTTTTGAAATGCTACTAGTTTGGTCACTTACTTACACTTAGATGTCATGTAGTTTTTGAGTCTAGCCATGTAAAGCTAGAATATTTTTTTTCCCGGGGAATAACAGATTCTTTCTGCTGTGTTCATCATTGCCTCAATTGGGTAGATCCTCTGATTTAAAATCATGTTAGGTGCTTTTTTGGAAAGAACTGATTTTCATACATTAACTTGTCTTTATTTTAAGTTCATGGTCTTTTCTCTCTAAGTAATTTCAGTGGCAAAGACGCAGAAGAACTGTTACCCACTCTTGTGTGTTGTCTTAAAACAAAGTTTGTCTATATATCAGGATTCTGTTTTTCTTGGAGGGAGCATCCTCAATTTGAGGACTCTTTGAGGTAAATATTTGCATAATGTCATAGACCGTATCTACTGCTGAAATACCCATTAGTTTTATTTAATATGCTAAAAAGTTGGCTGTCTGATGTAAAATGGTTCTCTAGTTACTTTGGTGGACATGGGTTTAGGACATTTGACTTCGATTCACATTTCCATAAGAATCTGCAAATCTAATGATAATCAGTGTATTTGTGCCTCATTTCCCTGTTATATAAATAGAGAGTTAAGGCATCAAATATTTTAAAGCAAGATAAGCATAGAGGTAGATAGAAATCATGGGAACATGCTGAAATTTTAATCACTGCAAGAATCTTATAAACCAGAGTTTAGTAAAGTTGTCCTGCTGCAATCATATGCACATTACATTACTCTTGACTTTCTGTGAGTTGGCGTACTCTGCACTGATGTATTTTATGCAGAATCATTACAGGGGAACAGAAACAAGCTGTTCCATCTCAACTGTGTGTTGATATTTGTAGATTCTTTGCCCAAAGTGGAGAAATCTTTTACACATTGCTACTGATACATAAAACACGTGCAATGATTTTTCGGATTTTGTCCATGCAGTTGCAAAATAAAAATGATAAAGTGATTTCTACATTTCAGGAAGCATATTTGATACAGAAGTCATTAATTTGTATTAGAACTTCACATAGGGGTTCAAGCATGTCACAGGCATTGAACAAGTTATTGACAACATGGTGCAAAGGCTGAATTGTCTCACATGAATGAAGGTGAGGATGACTCAAGTTGCCTTGTGCTTCTCCTTTTCATAGCTTAGGGAGAAAAATGAGAGGTTGCTTGTGAGGGATGCATAGAAGATGTGCACAGAAGATACTGCGCTCACAGGAAATTCAGAATTATGTGTGTAGTGCAGAGCCTACAAGGTCTGTCCACTTTACCAAGACTATCAGTCATATGCCTTCCTCTCTAACCAGCAAATAAGAAACAGAAGTGCAGTGGGAGTGCGACAAGGAACTCAGCAGTACCTTTTAATACTAGGAATATTTTCCTTCTATTTCCTCTAGAAATGGCCTGCAATTGTCTCTCAGAGGTTAGGCTCCATAATTTTATGCTTGTTCAGCAGAATTACTGGAAGGAATATGTGGTTTATCTTCAAATTTTAGAAAGTGTTAAAAACTTCTGGGACAAATTGTGAGAATACCAGTTTCTGTGGAAGACTACCTAGTTTGTTGGGTTTTTTTCCCTTAAATATATTGACTTAATAATTAACTACTGAAGTGGACCAGTTATATGATCTCAGTTGTATGCCTTTACTTAATCAAATCCTTAGTGACCTAAATCACCGAATAGGATTATTTTCTCTCTCTTACAGTGAAGGTAAATTTAATTAAGTGTCAGTATTACCTAATGCAATTATTTTTTCCAGAGTATAACAGAGATTATTTCAGACAGCTTATAAAGCAAACACCACTTGGAAGTTATTATGATTAAACTGATCTATTGTTTGAGGATGCTACAAAAATAGTTATAAATTTCCTTCTATAAATCCATAGCTCAGGAAAGTAGTAAGAACATTCTGTCTGCTTTTGAAGGACATTGTAGTGATTATAATAGGAACAAATCAGGTTAATTGGTGCATAAATATTAAATCATCATGTTCTGCAACTCTGATCTTTTTTTTATTTGGAGTATCAAAGTTATTATTGATGACTGTACAGGTAAGAATAACGTATACATTTTTTATTTTTCACATAGTGAGATTTACACAGTTTGAAAACCTTGGACTGTCGAGTCTTTAATCATGTGCACTTTAGTATTTGAGCACAAACATCACAAATGTGATGTCTTGTCTTTTTTTACTGCCCTTCCTTTCTTTAATTAAAGGAGTTGGTATGCCACTTTGGTATCTTACACCCTGTACAGAAAGTGAGGAGTGATGCCGAGATCTTTCACTATGTGCACTGAACCACAAACAAGAGATTTTGATGTCACAGAGTGACTGAAAGCTTGTCTGAATTCCAAATGTGAGAGTAGTTTTCAGATGCTTAAGTTATATTAGATAAATATCTGTTTTTTTTGTGTGTGTGTGCGTGGAAAATACATTAATTTCATTTTTCTTGACTAGTTTGCATAAGTACATGATTTAAAAACTTTGAAAAGTTTTTATAACCATTATTTATGTGAATAGTTTTCTATATGAATGTTTTATTTATTTCTGTCACATTTATCTCAACAGCTAAGAAATCTTTCTAGCCTGGATCTACGTCATATCACAGAACTGGATAATGAAACAGTGATGGAAATAGTAAAGAGATGCAAAAACCTTAATTCCCTCAATCTGTGTCTGAACTGGATCATTAATGACAGGTAACTTCAATATAAGATCTAATACTGGTATAAAGCAAAATCAACTAGTTGTATTAGTTGAGAAAACTTCTTCATGTCTTGGGGGTTGGAGAAGATGAGTAAAACCAACTGTTTTTTGAGTTGTTCTGGTTTGGTGTGGGTAAATCATCTAAATATACCTTATACCTCTTATGTGTTCTTGTTGTGGAAAGTTTTCTTATAATTGGATGGCATCCCTAATTGGTTGTTTGCTGTAGATTACATGAGAATGTGCCCTTTAACATGTGTGATTGAAATGTACATTTACTATGAATCTTTCCATAAGTGGAGAGCATTTAAACAGATTTAATCATATATGAACAATGAAGCATATGTAAGGAAAAATAAATTGCTTGAGAGTTAAGTAATCAAATTTATGTTTGTTTAGAAAGCACAAAATCCTTTACCTTTTGGCAAATAAAGCAGAATGAGACTGAAAGGATAACTGGGATATTAATGAAGTATTTTCCTTCTGACCAGTATGTAGTAGATTTGGGAGAACAGGAAAGGATGCTTAGAGTGACTTTTCATCCATATGGCTGTAGACTTTTTCATACATATGCTCTTCCAAGTCTTTAAGAATGTACACAAGTGAAAATAAGATTAAACTTTGACAAAAGTATGATGTTCTAAAATTAGTAATATAGAAATGTGTTGAATATGAAGTACCATTGACTTTTTACTACTGCTCCTCTTTCTTAGCTTATTAGGCTGGTTTTGGGTTGTTAAAGTTAGTAATATAGAAACATGTTGAATATGAAGTACCATTTACTTTTTAGTACTGCTCGTCTTTCTTAGCTTATAAGACTGGTTTTGGGTTGTTAGTTTGGGTATTGTTTGGGGTATGGGTAAGGATACCCTTACTTTGGCACTGAAAGCACTTAATTGCCCTATGTCTTTATAGGGCCATATTTGATGAGAAAAACTACTGTACTGGAAAATTTTAGAATAATTTAAAAAAATGTAAATTTAAAAGATAGGGGTTTTTAAGGTTATAATTGGTTAGAGTAGTATACCTTGCTGCAAGAACATTTTGAGTAGAACAATCTGCTTGGTATTATGCAAAGTGATTCTTTTCAAACTGTTCTGAAGATTGTTATTGAATTAGGGTATGAAGTGCATCTTTTACCTCTATCCATATAACTCTAAAACTTCATGCCCAGTAGAGTTGTGAAATTTAACAAGAAAAGGAAACTGTTTCCATCACTGACAGATACTCTCCAGTTGTGAACTTTTAGATCATTGACTTTTGTCTCTGTAGTTGTTTTAATTTTGCTTCTTATTACTCAGGTATTTTTTCAAAACTTAAACAGTAAGAGATGGCTACAGATTTAATTTAGCTATTCAAATTATCTTCCAGCTAAAACAAATAGAGAAAATATGGAAAATAATGAACACTTTCATTAAATTTTGTTGAGAGGTAATTGTTCAGTAGTTTAAGAATTTTTCCCATTTTACAATTAGCTTGAAATACTAATCTGTATTGAGTCATTTCCCCCAGTCTCCACAACTGCTGAATTAAAAGATACTGAAAACAATATGAAAGGAATGTGATACAGCAATAGTCTTTAATCAAGTGGAGACACATTCAGCAGAGTATTATTAGTATTTAATTGGAAGAGTTGGGTGAACATTCAGAAATTCAAAGAATTGTCCAGGTATTTACCAGGTAAAAATCTAAGTTAGCTTAAGCTCAGTTGGTTTGTTAACGATCTAAGGCATGATGAACTTGTTTGTTGTTTTGTTTTTTATAGGATAGCAGGCCATAGCTCTTAGTTAGATGGGATGTCAGAGGGTATTCTGCATTTTTATACCTTTGAGAAGACTTTTTGATTATTGTATCCAGCACACACAGTATAGTACCGGTCTAAGATATACCAGACTCCTATTAAAAAAGAGAATAGAATTAGTTTTCCCCTTTTTTTTTCCCTTTACACATTATCAACCTAGCTTATTGTCTTCTACTGAATTTTTTTTACAAACTTACTAAGACACTTTAATTCTCTGTAGTATAAGAGAAGATTGTTGGGTTTTTAAATAAAAAAAAAAAACCACAAACATTTGGAGCTTTGTTTGTTTACTTGCTTTAAAGCCAGGGAAAACTCTTTTTCTTCATTCCTTTGTGTAGAACGCTGACTGAAATAAAACCAGAAAGTTCTCTTGTAGTAGAATAGGGATAGATTTTACAGCTGAAGTAAATCTCTGATTTTAAAACTTCACTTTAGATTTCTTTATTGTTTCCAGAATTCCATAAACATTCTTTCCACAAGTAAGGCTGTGGCCCCAGGATATTTATTGCATTTTCTTACACATGACCCAGTGTTTTATTAGATTCTGTGATCATTACAATTCTTGTTAAGTAACTGAAACGAATCGAAACTTTCAAGAGTGCAAGACCTCTGCATGGCAAGCACAAAATTTTGGTTCTGTGGGAATTAGCAAGAACTATTATTTCTGTGTTTTGATTGAAGCTATTTTTGTTTTTAAAAGTGTATGTCTGCAAGGCATTTGTAGGGCAGTAAAAAAAATAGTTTCTTTTTGCTTAAAGCAAAAAATATGTTCAGTTGAAGTAGTCTTGACATTCATTTCATAAGTTAAAGAAAATAAGTCTCCTATAATGACTTGTAAAACAGTGTCTTAAAAGTTGAGAGTTAAAAAAGATCTTAGAAAGTTCAATTAATCTAACATAGCAATTACTCTTGCAGGTATATAGCTGCCTCAGAAGTTTTATATACTAAATATATCGAAGTACATCTTATATATTTTATATGCTAATTATACATCATAGAAATATTCCTGTTTCTTCTTTCAAACCCAAACCTGTAAATTCTTTTAGTATGCAGAAGATTTATCTTTAAGTCTTTACATTGCAGAGGAGTAAAACTGAGATTGACAAACATGACGATTCCTCTGAGGCTTGATTTTAAATAAACTTACTACTTTGAAGTTTTCTTAATGGTCATTGCATTTGTTCTTGCAAATTTGAACAGATAAAGCAGTATCAGCTTAAATGACATCTAGAAATAAAGCCCTAAGGAGATTCAGCAAAGCATGACATAACATATTGCATAGTTTTGCAGAGGTATGTGATTTTTATCATAGCACCTTCCTGAGCTTTGAGTACAGGTGGGTAGCTTGAATTTGATCTTCTTATACCAGTGCTCTTAAAAAATGCTTTTTTCTTGTGGAACTTCTATGAAATAGCACTATAGATAAATGAGAGTAAATGGCACAAAGGTACAGTCTCCTTGTGCTGGTTAAGACCTGGTGGTGAGATTTCTTGTTGGAGTCTGAAGTGGATGAACTCAGAAATGCAGACCTTTGACAAGTTTAGTAGTCAGGAAGTCAAGATATAGATGAAATGTAGAAGAAATATAGTAAATGGTGGGAAGCTGGAATGTAAACCTGACAATGAAAGTGTGCAGCAGTGGAGTCAGGAAAAATGAGCATTTTCTACTTTTAAGCATCTCCATCTGCTTTCTTCAGTTGGATCACTAAAACAGACTCATTTTCTCAGAACTGAGCATTGCATTTGTTGGCAGAGAGCATATGGGGTTTTCCACACTGCTGCTTACCAGACTAAATTATTAATATGGTCTTCCATGTGCTAGAGGAGTGTTTAAAATTTTTGTGATGCCTGCCTTAGTGAGTTAATGTGAATTGATGAAGGCATGAAAAGCCTTGGGAGTATTTTGTCTGATCTAGATGTGGTGGGTAGAGGACACAGTGCTGAAGATGCACTGAGCATATGATCACTAAGGTTAGTCCCAAAGTTGCTCTAGATGCTCCAGAATTTCATTAGCAGAGATGAATATTAAAAAAATAGGTCAGTTCTTACAGTATATTTTCAATAAAATGCAAGTTTAGTGAATGCTGGAATTATTTTCCAGTGCAAAAACTGCTAAAATAATTTTTTTTCTTCCTGAAAATGTAACACTCTTCATGTTTGGTATTAAAAATACATTAAAACTACAAACATATGAAACCTTTTTGTTAGATTGTTTTTTGTTTGTTTGTTTTGTTTTTTGCACAAGCAAAATGTGTGTTTTAATCTGTGGTGACAACAAATGCTAATGCTTCATGTTAATAGTCAGCAGCCTGGTCTAACTGAAGTGGAAGCCTGCTCCAGGAGCACTGATACTTATTTCTGTATTTTTGAGTAATCTGGTCTTGGTGTATAGAAAAGACTTCCAGAAGAGAAGCTGTATTTTTGTATTATATATCTGTCATAAATCATTGAAAGTGAATTGTAGCATTTCTTAATTCTAATTTTATTTAATCTTTTAAGCATTATCTGAAAGGTGATCTCCTTTGAGTCCTCTGCATAATTATCAGGTGTTTATAGTCAGGTACATTAAAAACTTAGACTCCATTAAAAGTTATAAAATGTGCCCCCTATTTTGAATGTCATACTTTTTAATTACATATGTAAAGTGAAACAAATTTCTTTACAAAAGTATTATGTAAAATGATGTTACAGTGATTGTCAGATGTTTAAATTTCAAAATACAGTACTGAAGTTGGACAAAGATACGTGGCATACTTAAATGAATTCTCTACATGAAATTCTGATATATGTTTTTTTTTTATGGTTGAATATTATTTATTTGTTTGTTTATTTTTAGTGATTATGAAAAAAAAAAAAAACAGATGAAAAAAATTCAGTCTTTATACTGGGTTAAACTTGTCTGGCTGCCAGATGCCCACTCAACTGCTCTCTCAGTCTCCCTCTTCAACAAGTCAGGGAAGAAATAAGATGATGGGTCAGATAAAGAGATCACTTGCCAATTACTGTCAGAGACAGTATGGATTCAGATTCAGTACAGAACAGATTCGACTTGGGGAACATTAATTTATTGCCAATTAAAAATAGCAAAGGATAGCAAGAGAAAAAGAAAGACAAAACTAAAGGCACTTTTCCCCATACTTTCCCCATATCAGTTTTTCAATACTGATATAGTACCTGATTTAACTGTGCTAAA